TTACAATTCCAAACAAAGAAATTTATTAATGATACTTTTGATACTAAGCTCCAAGATGACAAAATAAAATATCAATTCATACTAAAATGAATATTACAATTCCAAACAAAGAAATTTATTAATGATACTTTTGATACTAAGCTCCAAGATGACAAAAGAAAATATCAATTCATACTAAAATGAATATTTCTACATGAAATGATAAAGGGTAAATTTAATGAGAATATAAAAAAAATTTAGAATGTTATGGTACTAATATTTTTCTCAAAAATATATACTAAATTTTGTTTTATATTTACTTGCCGTATAATTTCAAAGGTCATTAATTTCTCTTTTCTCATCTTAACCTTTGTGCACGGTAAAACAATCCCGGATTATGTGCTAGTGAAAAATATTGTCTTGTAATCAAACGTTGGGTATGGTGATTGTAGGAATTACATAACTTTCGTAAATATCTTATATTTGGCCCGCGGATCTTTATCCAGTAAACCCAGTAGGCCAGTCCACTGAAACTACCATAGAACTGGGCGAAAAAAAATCTTGAAGTATAATAAATATCTGCATGTCTTAAACTATACTTTTAAAGACCTTAGTATGATAACGATTCTGGTGTATACTTCGTAAATGTCGGAGCAACAAAAGCATCAAAGATATCACAGTTAAAGCCCAGGACCAAAATTTAAAACCATATATTTAATCATGCAGAGGCTGTGACTGGTAATAGTCCGTTGTGCCTGAGCAGTGCCTAGGGTGAAGGTTCATGACCTCGGAATTCAATAAAGACCTGGATGACACGGTTAAAGTGTTCGCTTAACACATTCTCATTCAACAGAAAAGAAATAATGATGTCAAAAGTCACAACGTAGCGTAAAGAATACGTGTTACATAATGTTTCTAATAAACAAATCAACGAAAAAAGAGAAAGCTGGCTACAGCTCATCATAAAGTCTGCATTGACTAACCTCTAGTGGTGCTTTTCCACCTCCACGATCAAGAATTGTCTCTTGGAACTTCCAGCCGGTTTCTTTAACAGCCTGTTGAATACAAATATACACAGTTGTTTATGGATTAAATGAGAAAAGATTAAGTTAAGGTGTGTGTTAGATGCTCCCACACACTCAAAAATGCAAGGCAAATCCAACATCATTAACACCAGCACCGAACAGCTCTTTCAACTACCATACCTTGCTATAATCTAATCCAGCAGCCTCAAATGCCAAGAAAGCATCTGCAGACAATACTTCAGCCCACTGCAAAATTAGCCATGAGGAGTTTTAGATTGCATTACAATGGGCAATGTAAAGGAAAATGTACAAAAATCATTGAATCACAAAGTTTGCTAGGCCTTGGATCATAAATCACAATAAACTATACCTTGTAACTGTAGTAACCAGCCACGTATCCACCCGAGATTCACCAGTGAAAATTAACACAACCATAGGCAAAGGTTGAACCAAAGAAACAAAATACGTATGACAAATAATTTTTTTTAAGAAAAAAAAAAAAAAAA